AGGGTAGAGAAAATAGTGCAACAATAATGAATGGAAACCCCAAATCTCTGTAAATGTTCATTAAAATTAATAAAATGTATTAAAGTAAAAAAAAGAAGACAAAGTGAAAATATTCTAATGATACATGCAAAGACCTGGAGGTTAAAAAAAAACAAACAAACCAAAAGCAAAGAGTACATTCCATATTTATCAGATGAAAAAAACTGAAGAGAAAAATTAAAATCTTGAATTACAAAATGAAAGAATTCTATGGTAAAAATTGAATGATGCAGAATGCATCAAAAGAATGGACAAGTACACTGTCACTGTACAAAAAAAATAAATGGTTAATGTTCAGCCATTTTGGGACATAGACATGGCTGAGTATTGCTGATCCGTAAGGGAGATATTTAAGTTGCAATGAGAGTATTAGTGAAAAAACTAGAGTTAAAGAATTGAGGGAAAACGAATTGAGATACTTAAAGGAAAGAATGTCATACTTGAAGCACTTACTAAAACTATGCTGAGGAATTTAGAAGACAGCTACATGACCTTCTGATTGAAAGAGGGTCACCATTTGTCTCCATTCCAAAGAAAAACAATCAAGGAGGATCTAGATTTACTGAAAAATATATATTTTTTTTTAAGAATTAAAAAACTTTATTGCTGGAAGTAATTGCCATATTGTTGCAACACAGAACTGTGATTCTCACAGAGAGATCAGAGGTGAAAAGTAATGCATTAGCTTCTGTGGTACCTGGAAATATCAGAACTATAAAGACTGTGAGGTTGTCTGGCTTTTATAAGCTCTTTTAATATCACATTCCAGCAAAAGTTTGCTGAACATTATTTAAAAATGCTAATTTTTTTTTAAAAATCTGAAATAAATTCCATTAGTATCAGTAAGTATATTTTTTCTATTTGTCCATGTTTACAGGAATGGTGATTAATCATCCCCAAATTGCTCAAGGATATTAATCAGGGTGTCCATAAGTTTCTAACCGCAGGAAATGCTTGTTGTAAATAAACTATTTACAGTTGACTTCTTGAGCATCATTTGCTGTTGTGACTGTACAGTAGGTGTTAACCCAGTCTTAACAGAATCTCAGAGAAAACATTCATTTGTGGAAGCAAATTTCTACTATAAACAAAATTTTGATGTTTTTGCACACACTTCTGAAGATTTTAAAAAGAAAACTCAAGTTACAAAATGCCAATATTTTGTTACAGTTTTATGAAAAATGTATTTTTTAATTGTTTGCATGTAATAATATGCATCATTTTTTAAACAGTTGCTGTTCTTGTTGTGTGCCATTGAGTTGCCTGCGACTCATAGTGACTTTACGTACAACAGCCCTAAAAGCTGCTCTATCCTGTGCCAATTTTATTGTCTCTGACACACCTACTCTTATTACCCCAGTCACTCAATCAATCCATCTCATAGAGGGTCTTCCTCTCCTGCACTGTCCCTCCAACCTCCCAAGCATGTCCCTCTCCAAGGACTGGTCCAGCCTTGCAACATGTCCAAAGTATGTCAGATGAAGTTTCAGAATCCTTGCCTCCAAGGAATAGCCTGGTCTCATCGTCTCTAGGATGACATTGTTTGTTCTCCTGGCAGTCCATGGTATATTCAATACTTTTCTCCAGCACCACAGGTCAAAGGCATCAATTCTCCTTCTATCATTCTTAGTCTTGTATTTTATACAATCATTGATATAAATTGTATTTTATATAATTTATTACCATTGCTCAATGTCTATTATCACTCCATCTTTTCAAGTCAATATTGAACATTTCCTATGACTTCACCCTCTATCCTCTGCTATCTCAGTGATTTCTTTCTCCTTCCTTTTTTTTTGTTTTTAGAGGTTTAATTTTTTTTAAAGAAAATGTTTATTTTATAGGAAATGGGAAATATCTGGTATGAAAAACAATGTGTATGAACTTTGTAAGCAAACCTCTTATCCTTGTTATGCTCTCCTCTCACCTTTCCCCTTTGAATATTTATATATCATATTCAGTTATGCTATTTTCACAATAATGGCCTTATGCAATATTTATCCTTATGTGACTGAGATCTTTCACTCAGCATAATGCTATCTAGTCTCTCAATTATATAGCATTTTATGAAATCGTTGTTGTTTAGTGCTGCATAGTATTTCGTTGTGTGAATGTATCACAATTTCTCAATCCATTTATTTGTGGATAGAAGTTGGGCTGTTTCTATTTTCTTGCTATTATGAATAACTGTTAAGAACATTAAATATGCATATCTCCAATCATGCTTCAATTTTATTTTCCTTTGGGTGTATTCTTAGAAGTGAAATATCTGGATGATATGGAATTTCTATATTTGCCTTTTTTTAGGAAATATTGAACCACCTTCCAGAGTAGTTGTACCATTTACAATTCCCACAACAAACAGTTCATAAGACTTCTAATATCTCTCCATCTCCAACTTTTATAATTTGCTGTTTTGTTAAACTTTTCTGCTTCTGCTGGAGTAAGATGGCGTCTCATTGTTGTTTTGATTTTCATCTCTCAGATTGCTAGTGGTTTTGAACATTTCTTCATGTGCTCCTTGGCCTTTGTAAAGAATCTTTTCATGTCTTTTGCCCATATTGTGATTGGGTTATCAATCTTTTTCTTGTGGAGATCATGTAGCATTCTGTAAATTCTGGTTCTGAGACCCTTATCTTAAATGTCATTGCCAAATGCTTTTGCTCAGTCTGTGGGCTTTCTTTTCACCCTTCTGAAGGAAGTTTGTTTTGTTTTTTTATATAAAATTTTATTTTATGCTGGTTTACTTACAAAGTTTGTATACATTGTTTATGGCACTAGATCTTTCCCATTTCCATCAAATTGCGTGAGTCGGTGATTACTCCTCCACCCATTTTCACCCCTCTGCTTCCTCCCTCCTCCCTCCCTTAGATCCTCATACATGTTTTTGATGGACACAGGAATTTGATTTTAAGAAAATCTCATTATTTGATTTTGTTTTCTCCAGGTTTTGCCTTTTTTGCTGTTTGCAAGCCTATTTATGCTATAGGTCAGGACTTCTGTTTTTGTTTCCATTTGTCTCTTATGACCTTTATAGTTTTTATTTTTACCTCTATGTCTCTCTGATGCACTTTGTGTTGGGTTTTGTGCATGGTGTAAGATGTGGATCCTGTTTCTGTTTTCTGCAGGCAGATGTCTGGTTTTACAAGCCCCATTTGCTTAAAGAGATTATCATTTGCCCTTTTAATGGGTTTGATTACCTTTTTGAAGTGTTCTGGGATTCCCACTCTTCTCTAGCTTAGCCATAATTTGTTGTGATCCACACAGTCGAATGCCTTTGCATAGTCAAAGAAACAAGATAGACATTCCTGTGATACTCTCTGCTTTCAATTAAGATCCGTCTGACGTTGGCTTTATCCCCCTAGTGTGACGGCCTCTTCTAAACCCTGCTTATACTTCTGGTAGTTCTCTGTCAATGCAGCATTCCATTAAATTTTTTATAATTTTCAGCAGGATTTTGCTTGAACGTAATTTTAGAGATATTGTTCTATAATCTCCACACTCTGCTAGATCACCGTTTTTTTTTGGAATGGTAATTGTCCTCCAGATTTCTTGGCATAACCTTGTGAGTGCAGTCCTGTTGCTACATCAACTTTTATTCTATCAGTTCCTGGGATCTTGTTTATTGCCAATTCCTTCAGAGGAAATTGAACTTCCTTCTTCATCACCATTGCCTCTTGATCATATGTCATTTCATGAAATTCTTCTGTGTCAGCCAATTCTTTTTGGTGTATTGACTCTATGTACTCCTTCCATCTTCTTTTGGTGTTTCCTGCATCATTCAATAGTCTACCCGGTCGTTCTGCCGCGTAGGGGCCCCGCATTAGGCCTTGTAGCCCATCACGTCCCTGTTCTGTTTTCACCATGAGCTCCATCGGCACCGGGTATGACCTGTCAGCCTCTACATTTTCACCTGATGGAAGAGTTTTTCAAGTTGAATATGCTATGAAGGCTGTGGAAAATAGCAGTACAGCTATTGGGATCAGGTGTAAAGATGGTGTTGTCTTCGGGGTAGAAAAATTAGTCCTTTCAAAACTTTATGAAGAAGGTTCCAATAAATGACTTTTTAATGTTGATCGGCATGTTGGAATGGCAGTAGCAGGCTTGTTGGCAGATGCTCGCTCTTTAGCAGACATAGCAAGAGAAGAAGCTTCGAACTTTAGATCAAACTTCGGCTATAACATTCCACTAAAACATCTTGCAGACAGAGTGGCCATGTATTTACATGCATATACACTGTACAGTGCTGTCAGACCTTTTGGCTGCAGTTTCATGTTGGGTTCTTACAGTGGGAATGATGGTGCACAACTCTACATGATTGACCCCTCGGGTGTTTCATATGGCTACTGGGGCTGTGCTATTGGTAAAGCCAGGCAAGCTGCAAAGACAGAGATTGAAAAGCTTCAGATGAAAGAAATAGTCTACCCATAGAATATTAACTATTGTGACTCAGGACTTAAATTTTTTCATTAGTTCCTCCAGCTAAAGGGATGCAGAGTAAGTTCAGCCCTTTTGTTTCTGAATTCAACTATTTGCACATTACATTTTAATACTTTGCTTTGTCTTCCTGATTGCCCTTTGAAATCTCCTGTTCAGCTCCTGACTTTGTGATTTCTTCTCTTTGCTTTGGCTTCTTGGTGCTCTATGCAATATTTAGAGTCTCTTTGACATCTGTCTTGGTTTCTTCTTCCTCTTCTGTCTTTAGAATGACCTTTTGCATTCTTCATGGATGGTATTCTTGATATCCTCCCAATGCTCATCTGGTCTTTGCTCATTACTGTTCACAGTCTCAAATCTGTCTTGAGATGGTTTTGAAATTTTAATGGGATAGATTCAAGATCAACCTTTTGTTCGTGTGGGTTTGCTTTAGTTTTCTTTAGCTTTAGTTTGAAATATGCATATGGGTAGTTGATCATCTGTTCCACAATCAGCACCTGGCCTAGTTTTCACAGCTGGTATTGAGCTTCTCCAATGATTCTGTCCACAGATGTAATCTATCCAATTACTGTGTGAATGTATTTGCAATGAATAAATCATCGATTTTACAAAATTACATCATTTTATTTCTAGCCTCATTTCTGTCACCAAGCTCATGTTATCCTACCACTGATCTTTCTTCCCTGCTCCGAACTTTTGCATTTCAGTCACCTATTATTATTATTTAATGCAATTTGGTCGCATGTTTGATCAATTTCCAACTGCAAAATAAAAGTTGGTGGGTACAAAGAATCTATTTCCTCTATTTTTTTGGCCCTAGATGTTGGTTCATGTATGTGAATGATAGTGCAATTTACAGGTCTTCTCTGTATGCACATGCATACTATCCAGTTACTCGCAGCATTATATTTCAAGATAGATTTAGAAGTGGTCTTTTAAACTATGAATGCTACTGTTTTTCCCTTACCTTTTCATCTCCAGTGTAGTAGATCGTATGACTGTTGATCCCAAATGTCCCTAGCAATCCATCTCACTTCTCCAATGCCTAGTATGCCAATATTGATTTGTTCTAGTTCTTCCTTAATAAAGACCAATTTTCTTACATTCATACTTCTCACATTCCATGTTCCAATTACTAGTGTTTACTTGCAACTGATCCTCCTCCCTAGCATTTCCTAAAAGCCTCTGATGCCATTTAGTGGGTTTTATTGCCTTGTTAAATATCAGTTGACCATAGATTGATTTCTGGATTCTCAGCTCTATCCCACTGATCTATATTTCTCTTGTTGTACCAACACCATGTTGTTTTGATTATGACAGTTATGTAGTAGGTTTTGAGATCAGGAATTGAAATATTTTTAACTTAATTATTGGGTTTTAGAAGATCTTTACTTATTCTGGTCTCTTTCCTTTCCTAATGAAGCTGAAATTGCCTTTGTGTATCTCCTTGAAGAATGAATTTGGTATCTGTATTAGGATTACATTGAACCTGTTGATTGCTTTTGATTGGATTGCCATTTTTCACAATGCTCCATTTTCCTATCCATGAACAGGGAGTATTTTTCCATTTAGTTAGGTCACTTATTTTTTCTTAAGGAATTAGCAGATACAGAAGAATTTAATGAAATAGCATTTGAGCAAGAGCCTATGGTGATGAAGGAAGAAGTTCAAGCTGCTTTGAAGGAAATAGCAAAAAATAAGGCCCCAGGAATAGATGGTATACCAATTGACGTATTTCAGCTGACAGATGTTGCCCTGGATGTGTTCACCAAGTTGTGCCAAGAAATCTGGAGAACAACCACTTGGCCAACTGACTGGAAGAGATCTATATTTGTTCCCATTCCAAAGAAAGGTGACCCAACTGAGTGTGGAAATTACAGAACAATCTCATTGATTTCACATGCAAGCAAGATTCTACTGAAGATTATCCAAAAACGACTGGAACAGCACATCAGCAGAGAATTGCCAGAAGTCCAGGATGGGTTTAGAAGGGGTCGTGGTACTAGGGATATTGTAGATGGTGTCAGATGGATCTTAGCTGAAAGCAGGGAATACCAGAAGAATGTCTATCTGTGTTTCATTGATTATGCAAAGGTGTGTGACTGTGTGGATCATAACAAACTGTGGCTGACTCTGAGAAGAATGGGAATCCCAGAACACTTGATCATGCTAATGAGAAACCTATACTTGGACCAAGAGGCAGTTGTCAGAACAGAGCAGTGTAACACTGCATGGTTCAAAATTGGGGAGGGTGTATGCCAGGGATGTGTCCTGTCTCCATATCTTTTCAACCTGTATGCAGAGCAGATTATCCGAGAGGCTAGGCTCTATGACGAGAAGTGTGGCATCAGAATTGGTGGAAGATCTATCAACAATCTGCATTATGCAGATGACACAACCCTGCTTGCTGAAGCTGAGGAGGACCTCATGCACTTGCTGCAGAGGGTCAAGGACTGCAGCCTTCAATATGGATTGAGGCTCAATGTAAAAAAGACAAAGATTTTCACACTGGACCAATTGGAAGCATCAGGATGGATGGTGAAGAGATTGAGATTGTTCACAGCTTTATTATGCTTGGCTCCACAGTCAACATTCTTGGCATCAGCAGCCAGGAAATTAAAAGACATATTGTGATGGGGAAGTCTGCTGTTACGGACCTCTCTAAAGTACTCAAGAGCAACGATGTGTCTCTGGATACTTAGATGCATCTGGTACAGGCCATGGTCTTTGCAATCACTTGGTATGCGTCAGAGAGCTGGACAATGACCAGGGAGGATAGAAGGAGAATTGATGCTTTTGAGCTTTGGTGTTGGAGAAGATTGCTGAGAGTGCCATGGACTGCTAAGAAAACAAACAGATTCACCCTGGAGAGGGTTAAACCGAGCTGCTTCTTGGAGGCAAGGATTCTAAGGCTTCGTCTGACATACTTTGGTCATGCTGTAACGAGGGACCAATCCTTGGAGAGGGACATCATGCTTGGGAGGGTGGAGGGCAGGCTTAAGAGGGGAAGGCCCTCTGGGAGATGGATTGATTTGTTGACTGGGGCAATCGGGATGAGTGTGTTGGAGACAATAAGATTGGCACAGGACAGAGCAGAGTTTAGAGCTGTTTACATAGGGTCGCTATGAGTCGCAAGCGACTCGATGGCACATAACAACAACAACAACAACAACAACAACAACATTGTTATTACCATTCTAGCTTTCTTATGATGCCATTGCTTGGATTATATTTCTATAGTCTTTGAAAAGGGTTTGTTGGTGGTTTTTTGTTTGTTTGTTTTGTTTTGTTTTTATCCTTAACACGTGTTGTTGTTGTTGTTGTTGTTGTTATGTGCCGTCGAGTCTTCTGAGACTCATAGCGACCCTATGTACAGCAGTCCTAAACTCCGCCCTATCCTGTGCCAATATCACCACCTTCGACACACCTACCCTTATTACCCCAGTCACTGAATCATTCCATCTTATCAAGGGTCTTCCTCTCCTGTGCTGTCCCTCCACCCTCCTAAGCATGATGTCTCTCTCAAAGGACTGGTCCCTCCTTGCACCATGTCCAAAGTATGTCAGACGAAGCTTCAGCATCCTTGCCTCCAAGGAGCAGCCCAGCTTCACCCTCTCCAGGACAAACCTACCTTAGCATATACCTTTATTTTTTTAAATAGCTTATTTACAAAATTCTAATAAAAATTAGAACAAATTCTTTCCGTTTTCCCCAATCATTAAATTTATAATCCAATGACTAATCCCCTCATCCCCCTGTACATCCACATTCCTCTGTTTCCAGCCTCTCCCTCTCCTCCTGGATCCTTATACTCACTCATTTTACAATTACGGTCTTATAAAATATTTATCCTTGTGGGACTGAGTTAGTTCACTCAGCCTAATGCTCTCCAGCCCCTCCCAAGTTAGGTAATAATTTACAAAGTTATTGCTTCTTCATGTTGCATAGTATTCCCTTGTGTGAATGTACAATAATTTCTCAATCCATTTGTTTGTGGTTGGACATGTGGGCTATTTCCATGTTCTTATGTTGGTGAATAATGCTGCTATGAATATTGGTATACAAATCTCAGTTTGTGCTTCAGTTGTCAGATTCTCAGGGTATATTCCAAGTAGTCGAATAGCTGGATCAAATGGAATTTCTATGTTCAGCTCTTTGAGGAAGTGCCAAACTGCCTTCCAGAACGGCTGCACCATTTACAATCCCACCAACAATGTATAAGAGTTCCTTTCTTGCCACATCCTCTTGAACACCTGTTCCTTGCTGCCCTGTTAAATTTTGCCACTCTTACTGGAGCATGATGGTACCTCATTGTGGTTTTGATTTGCATCTCTCTTATTGCCAGTGATTTGGAGCATTTCTTCATGTGTCTGTTTGCCATTTGAAT